TACATCTGACATGTATATTTGAATGCTGAACCCATACCTGGGTCAATGGCTACAGAAATACATGCATGATATATAAAGCATGTGAGATTTGTAAAATGTTTTGGGACAGAAAGAGAATATGTTATATGATATTTGTACATTGAATTAGGTTGAAAGAAGAAAGTTGTATTTGTATTGTGCACTTTCCTCTTGTATTTGACATGAGAAAATGTGAATTGTATTGTGCACTTTCCTCTTGTATTTGACAAGAGAATTGTACGGCGCACTTTCCTCTTGTATTTGATATAAGAAAAGGATATTTGTACTGCACACTTTCCCCATGTATTTGACATGAGAGAATGAGAATTGTATTGTGCACTTTCTTCTTGTAATTGACATGAGAAAATGAGAATTGTATTGTGCACTTTCTCCTTGTATTTGATATGAGAAAATGAAAAATTGCATTGTGCTTTCTCCTTGTATTTGACATGAGAAAATGAGAACTGTATTGTGCACTTTCCTCTTGTATTTGATATGAGAAAATGAGAACTGTATTGTGCACTTTCCTCTTGTATTTGATATAAGAAAGAGGTATTTGAACTGCACACTTTCCCCTTGTATTTGACATAAGAAAATGAGAACTGTATTGTGCACTTTCCTCTTGTATGTGACATGAGAAAGTGTTTTTTGTATTGCACTTTCCCCTAACATTTGATATATGAATATGATATTTGCATTGCATGTTTCCCTTGTATTTGATTTCATGAGAATTGTAGTGCTCTTGCCCCTTGTATTTGATATTAGAAAGTGACATTTGCATTGTGCACTTTCCTCTTGTATTTGATATGAGAAAGTGACATTTGCATTGTGCACTTTCCTCTTGTATTTGATATTAGAAAGTGACATTTGCATTGTGCACTTTCCTCTTGTATTTGATATGAGAAAGTGACATTTGCATTGCACACTTTCCTCTTGTATTTGACATGAGAAATGAAAATTGCATTGTGCACTTTCCTCTTGTATTTGATATGAGAAAGTGACATTTGCATTGCACACTTTCCTCTTGTTTTTGACATATGAGAAAGTGGTATTTGTATTGCACTTTCCCCTTACATTTGATATAAGAATGTGATATTTGTATTGCACACTTTCCCTTGTGTCTTGTTAATATGAGAATGTTTATATATTGGTCCACTTTCTTTGTACTGGATGGATAGGAAAATATAACACTTGGACTGCACACTTTCCCCTAGTTGGTTGTTAAAAGAAAATGATACCTTGTGTTAGCATATTTGTGTTAAAGTGTTATGCACACTTTCCCTTTAGGTCGATAGAAGAAAAAGGTATTTGACCTTCTAGAGCAGGGTCAATACAATAAAACCGATATTTGGAGGAAGCACTATCCCTCTCATGCCGACAGGACAAAGTGACACGACAGAAAGCACCTGCCATGACATAATCACAATCATGACCATGGCAATCAACAAAAACACCAAAGTATCACAGAAAAACAAACACGTCAGTAGTCTTGCATATATGTTTATTAACATATTTTGAAGCACCTAGGAAAAGTATATAAATGCACTTGAAGAATTGAAGACTAGATAATATTTAACATGTAACATAGTGCAGTCGAGGGGTAACCCCACAACTGCACAGGCAAACTCAACTCTTTTCAAGTGAGGTGATCAATCTATGTAACAATGAATAACAACGTTGTGCTACATGCAACAATGTATAACAACGTTGTCCTAGTCCTTGGATAGCTGTGGAGCATATTATCAAGTTAATTACTATTTGGATATACAGTTACATAGTCAGTGTATGGGATAACATTGGTATCAGACCCTTCTCCTGCCTGTGATTAGTAGTAGATGTTCATAATGACAAGCTTTCAGAACTACATAGCAAACCAAACACAGGCGAGCAATCAACTGAGGACTGAAAGGGAGTGTTACAATACCCAGTTCTGCATAAGTTGATAATAAGAAATATCTTAAAAAATACATTGTACAAATAACAAATACATGGTAAAAAGATTATCATAAAGTTGGTATAGAAGGTGGTGCATTCATGAATCCAGTGTACCGTTCAATAGCAAACACCACACTGAGATATAACAGATATATTTACCACTGGACTTTTACACTAAAGCCGAAACCAGGTTGTTAAAAGACGGCACTTTTTCATTTTATCGGTTTACAGATTCGACCAACTAGCCAAGAGACACAGTCAAAAAATAAACTAAAACTAGTTTCAATTATTTCTTTACCCAACTAATCCATCTTAGACATCAAGGAATTCTTTTTTGAAATAGCGAAAATTATACAAATTGAATTATCTTTTTTTCAAATATTTCATCAAATGCATTGTATGCTGTTCTTGGTCAGCGCAAATCTCTTACAAAGAGACCACAGCCTGCCCAGAAGTAAACACATACACGTTTTACAGTAAAAAATACCAAACATCACAAAGTATTAGCCTTTATTTTCCCCACTACTTCCGCTAACCCAAACATTCAGAATATACTACTCAAAAGATGTTAAAGAACACCCTGCCGTGACAGCTTAGCTATAGTAATATGAAATAATCAGGTGTCCTTTATCTTCGTTTGAGTAGTACAAACTATCAAAATTAAGGAGGTATATAAATCTATTTTTATTTTTATTTTACCGGACTCAAGCCAATTGGTTAAAAAAATCTGTAAACCATAAAGTCAATATCGTATCTCCTGACATAACACAGTGCCTCTTCTTCTCCTTCAGAGGCAGACCTCATTTGGCTGGCTACTCAGTGCTAATACACTATCTTATAGCAAAAAGAAGAAAAAACATCTTTGGTACAAATGATATACATTGCATTTGGTATTTTGCATTTGAAGGATTTTACTGAGAAATATGCACAATGATGACAATATATTGGATGAGGTGTGTTTGTCGTGTAACCTGTGAGGGAGTGTAACGCGGCCAGCGACACTGGTGTTGCCATGGCAACACCAGTGGGATGCGCTTCCGCTCAGCTGGCCACCTCCAACTTACAATCTAGCATTAGATATGTAGGGAGTACCTGCAAAATGTTTGTTACAACTAAAAATACATTATTTTGAAACACGATTGCATAAAATATATCTCAACTAGGTTACGGTAATATTGGGAAAATGCAAAAACAATGTGCATCAGTTTATAAACTGACACTTAAAAAAAGATAATTTTTGCACTGAGATAACTCAACTGATAAATGCTAACAAATAAAATATAAAAAAGCATACTGTGAAATCTAAAATGTATCTGCTTATGATTTCATGATGTATATTTGTTATGAGGGAGGAACATGGGTGTGACCATCCCTTCCTCCACCCCATCCCCACCCTGAAGGGGCACCCAGCATCACCATCCGGTGAGATAATATTGCTCACCGCTGTACTATGAGAGGGGTCGGCAGTCAGGTACCGTCTACAACTACAACACAAGCTCTGCGTAATTTGAGTACATCAATACATACAAAGATATAATAAACTCTATATCTGAATATAACTCTCCGTTTCTATGTACAATACTATGGCAGTCTACAAGCTCAAGCAAATACTCAATGTAGCAAGCCTACATTCCAGTAAAACTCAAAGCAATATAATTAACATACACTTTGACAGATAATGGATTGTCTTATACATTTTGATTATATTGTCAATTGCACAATAATAAAATAACATAAAGAACTAGCTGGCTGCACTAGTCCCCTCTCGGCTACATCTACTGTACATTCGTCCCCCTACCCTTCCATCGTTGCACAGTCCCATGTCGTTACTCACTCCACCTTTCAAAATCCAACTCGCAAACTGGTCACCTTCCGAGGTCGCACCTCCCAATTCCCAATAGCACCTCCCACACCCAAGTTGCCCCTCATTCCAAGTTGCACCTCCCCCACCCAAGTTGTACCCCCCTCCCCCACCCCCAACCCAAGTTGCACCGCCCCCTGCCATGTTTTTGTTAATATCAATGAAAGCGCCACCTGTGTCGCCAGTACAGTGCCAAGCACGAACAAGTCACTCCTGCATGTGTCCATGACCATGCAGTTCTATTAAACGTGAAAACTTTGACTGTAACAAAATAGCATCAACAATAAGAACAAAAGTTCAGGTAGGGGTGTTCAGAAAAACAAGATAAAACCCATAAACTGGATCGACATGCACAGCAAACTCAGGACTACAACTACCACGGTACCTGTTCTCTGAGTGATGAACACACCCATCTACCTACATTCAAGTCCAATACAAATCACTGTACTGCCATTCCATCTATACTGTAGCACCAGAACTCTTCCATTCGTCTCTTGCTGTGGCACCAAATTACCACCCCCAAAACACTCAAAGCCATCATATGTCATCAAAACAACCCCTGCCCCTTCCGATAAGCCTTATCCCCTCACTGTAACAATAACAATTTCCTTACATAAAGGAACCAAAATCCCTGTGCATCAGAATAGCTTTGAGCGATCTATCAGAAATAGAATCTCATTAAGATCAGATCTTTTACTCCGATTAGAAACCTCTGTGCCTCAAGATCTGAAGATTGGTTGGTTTGTTGGTTGGTTTGTTGTTTATCGCCGCTCTCAGCAATATTCCAGCTATATGACAGCGGTCTGTAAATAATCGAGTCTGGACCAGACAATCCAGTGATTAATATCATGAGCATCAATCCACGCAATTAGGATCGATGACATGCTTCAACCAAGTCAGTGAGCCTGACCACCTGATCCCGTTATTCACCTCTTACGACAAGCATAGTCGCCTTTTACATCTGAAGAAACCTCCATACGTCACATCAGGTTCACCCTGAGTGAAAACTGACTGACCAATCAAAATGAAGGATGAGTGGGTTCTTGAACAAATCAGATGTCAGCTTTCTAAAATGATTAATCTTTCGATGTTAGCAAAAGAAAACCGCCACAATAGTACAACCTTTTGAGTGTAGATATTATGGCGTTCAGAACTTACTAAAATATCCACAGCAACATAATAGTTGTTATCGTTATACAGATTGCATTGCTCACATGTACAGAAAATTAAGAAGCCTTGATGCTGATTGGCTGACGTAACCTACTATGGTCTTCATGAAGAGAGGTATCGCACAGGGGTAAAAGATCAGATTTTAATGAGCTTGTCAGAGAAACAATAGTCAAATGCCCATCAAAAGATCCCTCACTGCCTATTTCAAAATAAGAATAATATGAATGCCAAAAGAGACCTGTTTCTGGCTGCCAGAAGAAAGCTAATTCTGCACCCTGCATTAACCACATCACCGTGCCCACTAGAAGAAAGTTACCACAGCACCATGGCCACAAGAATGAAGCTGCACCCTGCCCACTAGAATGAAGCTGTACCCCTGACAGCTACCGGTGCAACCCACCCTTGCAAATGCCTGCCTCCCCACCCAACCAAGTCCATGAGAACAACCGTGCCTCTGCACATAACCCAAGAAGAGATCAGCCCTGCTAATAATTATATCCCCACCCCACCTCCATCTCATCACAACATGTTGTCCTTCCAATAGCACCAGACTGAAATGTAACTTGTTCCTACTCAGCACTGTACAATGATCCAGCTTGTACTGACAACACTGTACAATGATCCAGCATGTACTGACAGCACCGTACAATGATCCAGCTTGTACTGACAGCACTGTACAATGATCCAGCATGTACTGACAGCACTGTACAATGATCCAGCTTGTACTGACAGCACTGTACAATGATCCAGCATGTACTGACAGCACTGTACAATGATCCAGCTTGTACTGATAGCACTGTACAATGATCCAGCATGTACTGACAGCACTGTACAATGATCCAGCTTGTACTGATAGCACTGTACAATGATCCAGCTTGTACTGACAGCACTGTACAATGATCCAGCTTGTACTGACAGCACTGTACCATGATCCAGCTTGTACTGACAGCACTGTACAATGATCCAGCATGTACTGAAATCACTGTACAATGATCCAGCTTGTACTGACAGCACTGTACAATGATCCAGTTTGTACCGACAGCCCATACTGGCTGCAAGTCGATATGGCGCACTTAGCTGCAGGTGGTGGAATTAAGCCTGAATTCCTGTGTAAATATGAGGTGTATATACAGTGGTTATTGCACAATGAATGATACACAGGCTAGTTAATGAGTTAAAGCAACATAAACGTGAATGCATTACCGATTGCAACACCACTGGCCTAGCTTCAAGCCATCATTTATTGCAACATTCCTCAACTCAATGTGCCAGGCAGTAATATCAATCAATCAATTAATTATCCAGGTATAAAAATATACAATCAAAGTGCCGAACATTTAGATATGTTTAGGTTTTGTAACTAAATCCTAGCTAATGACTAAGTGAACATATTTCTACTTGTCATGTGGTCACGTCCACTGGGCTGTGATGGAGTCAGGACAGTTCCCCCGTCTTATGAAATGATTGCATTACCCTAGCCACACACCGACTCTCTGCCCACTGCAGGAGCAAGCTGCTGATGCAGGCATGAGATTCCCTCTATGGATTGGTCATTTATTACAGGGAGGAGGGGCACGAGATCTTACACAGCAGGAAAAAGAATCTCCTCCCCATACCTTAAAAACCCCTTGGCCTTTTTCTTACAATTTTTACATGACCCCAAATCAGTTCATGACAAAACATAATGAGTGACATTTTGAAATAAATTTTGTCGCTATCTTTTATTTCTTGGACAGCACTACCCTGAACCTGTACTGATAATTGACCCTCCCCAATCCTGTCCAGTATTAAATGACCAGTCCACAGGGTTAACTCCCATTCTGCAGCCAACATGCAGGCACAAGTGATTCAAACTGGACTACATTCTTCTGAGCGTTACTGTTTAAAATGAGTAGGAAATAGTCATTTCTACCTTCCGTACTGAAAAGGGAAAAAAATAAAAAACTTCATTACTGATCGCTTACAACCTATACAAAAGATGGACCATTAAATCAACCTTTTTTAATATGTCTCAGTGTTGATAGTTTGGTAAAAATATTCTTGGTAGCGGTCAATGAGAAGGAAGCATGACCTACTAGGTCACTTGGTCAGTGAAAGTGGAAGGGGCCCTGTCTTAAACAAAACACAAATAAATCCTAAAACCCTGAACAGAAACCATATGTCCCTTAAATTGTTCCAGCGTAAACATTTCAGTATTTAAAACGAAACATGATCAGTCATACAAACAAAACATTTGGCAACAAGTTAGTGTCAACAAAACAACTGCTTCCATAGCAGCTGTCTACAGCTGCATGATCCAGTCATATAAATGCCTAAACTAAAACTCTTCCTGTAAGTAAGGGAGATAACTGTGACTATTGTCAGGCTAATTGTGATGTACACATGAAAAATTTTCAGTACATTTTACAGATGTTTCTGTTAATATTTTGTATCAAAACACTGGTCCTTTCCCAATGAGCCTTCAGCCCATAGTGTAGTCGGGTCAATCATTCGGCCATTCTTCCACCACTCCCCACACCTTGCTATCAACATATAGGCTGTAGGCTCACAAGGACGTCCAAACACTAGCAAATGCAAAATGCTAAATTAACAATATGTAAATTAAAGCTTTGGTAATTGTAAACATTACGGGTAGATAGCACTATCTCAATCAAATGGCATACTGAGAAGATCAAAATGCAACAATGTCAATTATGAAACAGCTGAAACAGTGAAAATGACAGGATAGATGTAAGTTGAATTGGACAAGACTAACAAGTGATATTAGAAAATATTCTACTGGAGGCTACAGAGCAATTTAAAGGCTAGGCCCACCACTTCTTGTATCTGTGCTGGCTTTCAGGTTTTCTCATTCTACAATAGTCCTGCAACACTTTCCCCAACTCTGAAACCTGGTGAGACGATCGTCCTGGCTACCCCTATGCCAGTCCCTATGTCTAGGCTAGTCATGTACACCTAAGAGATGGATATTTACGTACTAGTCAAGGCTAGTCTTGTAACCTTAATGAAGGATATTCATGTACAACTAGTCAAGGCTAGTCATGTACATCTAAATGAAGGATATTTACGTACAACTAGTCAAGACTAGTCATGTACATCTAAATAAAGGATATTTACGTACTAGTCAAGGCTAGTCATGTAACCTAAATGAAGGATATTCATGTACAACTAGTCAAGGCTAGTCATGTACACCTGAAGGAAGGATATTTACGTACAACTAGTCAGACTAGTCATGTACATCTAAATAAAGGATATTTACGTACAACAAGTCATGTAGGCTAGTCATGTAGGCCTGAATGAAGGATGTGTATGTGCTAGTTAAAGTTAGTCATGTACACCTTGATAAGACTTGTAATTTACACCTAAAGAGACTAGTCATGTACACCTACAGAGAACCAAATACTGACACCTCCATGGAGGCTAGTCATGTACACCTGAAGCTAGTCACGGACACTTACACCAAGAGCAAGCTAGTCTTTCACAGCTGCTTATAGGCTAGTCATCTACACCTAGACAAGACTAGTCATGTATACCTGTGACTAGTCATATACGTCTACATATACACTAGTATGTGTACCTACACAAGGCTAGTATGGACACCTGAGTAAAGTCATATACGTCTTCAAGTAGGCTAGTATGGATACCTACACAAGGCTATTCATGTACACCTGAGATAAGTCATATACGTTTACAAATAGCCTAGTAATACCTACACGAGGCTGGTATGAGACCTGGGGCTAGTCATATATGTCTACACAGAGGCTTGTATGTATACCGACACAAGGCTGGTATGACACCTGGGGCTAGTCATATACGTCTACACAGAGGCTAGTATGTATACCGACACGAGGCTGGTATGACACCTGGGGCTAGTCATATATGTCTATATAGAGGCTAGTATGTATACCAACACGAGGCTGGTATGACACCTGGGGCTAGTCATGTCCGACTTGACAACACTGGTCACTGGTATGGAGAACACCTACTACTACAGATATGCCTGTACCAGACAGCAAGAAGCGGGAGGCCAGCCCAGCATAGGCACGGTAGAACCACAACCATCCCGAGGTTACAGCTGTGTCACACACAACCACCAACACCACACAACAGTTGAAGAAGCTGCTCCGCCTGTTCCGTGGTCCGCCCATCTGGACCGCTACCACAGAACATGCTGGCGCCGCCTTAGTAATTATCAGAAATCACAGATTCACACGTATCTATGGTTACAGTTTCTTCACTGATCTTACTTTTGTCCATAAGATTACCTTCTGACATGTTTTCAATAAGTGCACACAAATATTCAATGAATGTTTCACTACATCTACTTTCGAACGAATTATAACCCAAAATAGGGACCAATAGATGAACAAATTGCAAATATGGTCCAGAAGATGAACTAGAATACATGAGCGTTTATGATAAAGAATTGCAAAACTCAGCATTGAGATCATTTAGGGCATTGCGAGATTCTTCTACGGCAGCTTGGTAGCTCTATGTTACCCTGCGTGACATCGCACCAGAACATTCTTAACTTTCTTCTACTATGTAACAAGAAGTCCTTTCTTAAACACTTCATGATTTAACATTTACTTTCCTACTGACAGCCTGACCGTGCCAGTCTCATGACATAGGCTCCTTGCTTAACACTACGTACAGCTGAAACATCCGTCTTCTCGAGACGTCTTTAACATACAACAAATACAGTCAGACGTATAAGAAGGCCATCTAGGCATCAGTTTCAATCTAAATATTGCACAAATATTTCTCCTTTGGAGAATATAAATCACTACGTTTGGCTCACAAAAAGGCAATTATTTTGATTTAATATCTCATTGAATAAATCACTTGTACAATTTATCAGTTTCTCCCTGCATAGGTGGACTTTGTAGACACTGGCTGTGATATTGCACACATAACTTGCACGTAACCATGGTAACACAAACACTACTCACAGTCAAAATCAAAATATCAGAAGTAAAAGCCATTAGGATGAAAACTGACTTGAGTCTGCTGATTGAGCCATGTGTATATAACTACATTCCTAGGTGTTACTACAAGGAGACTATCTACTTTGGCAGTATTACAAGTAATGTACAAACAAGCAAATATAACATAGCGGTCGACACATACAACAATATACAATGTAAAAGTAAGTGTAAGGGTACAACTCCTCAACAAGACTAGATCTTTGGTGTGCATATATTGAAGTGGAAGATTGCGGAAATAGCTGTTGTAGTAGGACATAGTGCATAGATAGGTACAGTGATCTGAAGTCAGTGAGCAAAGTTCATTCCCACAATATCCAAACTGCAAAGAAAGAGGAATCACTTGAAGTGAAGACACAACACAAATTCCAGCCAGATTGTCCCCCTTTGTTGTCAATACACCTGAGAGGTGAACTGTCACACTTTTAAACCATGAAGAAAGAAAGGAGTTGTCCCCCTTTGTTGTCAATACACCTGAGAGGTGAACTGTCACACTTTTAAACCATGAAGAAGAAAAAAGGAGTTGTCACCCTTGGTAAAAGGGTGGTCTCCCTTGGCAAAGGAGTTATCTCCCTTGTAATGAGAATGAAAGCAGTAAGAGAGCACTACAAAGTATCATTAACATGAGCTGCCCCTGATACAGAAGCATTGATGTATTTGGCTCCGAGCGGTGCAACTAGCAAGCACGACGATCAGGGTTATTTTGACATGATTTAACATGGGAAACACAAGACTAAAATATCTCCACATTTCCATGGACCTCAATCTGTTCAGACTGAAGCTTAGCACCACAATATTAGTACATGATTGACAGTCCTGTATGAACAAAGGGAGACAACTGAAGCTGGTGACAAGAGTGGCACTGCGTGCCCAATGGGTGTTGACTTGCATGTAATGGACACAATTTGACCCAGTTCAGGTAATCCATTACAGACAAAACAAATCTGAATATAAAACTGTGTTAAACAGATGAAAATATTCAATCGATAATGACATTAATGATCAGATGGTTATTTTTGGCAATTGTTTAACATCAGAAAGCTCTGCAGGTAGTGACGGAACTTCCCATTACATTGCAAGTCAATTTCATCCCTGCCAGTTTCACACCTACCCCACAGCCTGCTCAGTTCAGGGCAACACTGAGTGACACGCCCACCACCACCACACTACTCACATACTTTGGGCCAGGCCTAAACTCAACCATGATAATTTTCTTAATTTTGTAAATTTTCACTTGGGGAGACCAGTGCCAAAAGGCACTAACAAAATAGAGATCTTCAAGATGGAAACAGTATTTTTCTATGCATATTTTGATGGATGCGAAAAAAATAAATTTCATATCAATTGATCAAAGTCACTGCAAACATAAAAAAGCAAACCAAAAAACCCTTGAATACTTATTACTGTATAGAAATTAATTTAAATTCTTAATGTTTTCACCGATCAAAAGAAACATGCTCAAACCTGCTGAGCAGCATAAACAAAACATGTCGGAAAAAATTCTCAGTACTAAGCACTGGAAAACACTTTTACATAATGTTTTACTCTATTTTCTTATTTAAGGCCCTGTGGGATGAGTGAGTTAACATGGGTAGTGAGTGAGTGAGTGAGTGAGCAGGGCCCTGACACACGAGGTAGTGAGGTAGTCCCCAGCAGGGAGAGTCAGGACCAGCAGGGGTGGGGGGCTTCACAGGTCGTCCATGTGACCCCCTCCCCCTCCCAGCCTGTATAAGCCTGCTTCCCAGTCTACAGACGCTTTAACAATGATTGACTTTGCCTTCCTCCTGTTCAAACAGTGGTCAGTGGCTGCTGATGAATATACAAGAAAGCTGATAGGATATACGTACAGGTGTTGATATGAGAGTTAGAACCTCCTGTACCTGCTATCGAGGTCGCCCCACTGACCACACTCTGACCAGGCCGGGCAACAGGCAGAGTCAACACCATGAGGTACAACATCATGTCATGATGTCAACAACCCACCGACTTGGCACAAATAATTAGTATAAATGGATATAGACTGTACACGTGTTGCACAACATCAACATTTACATCAGAAAGTAGAAAAGATAATATATTTGAGTTTTACGATGAGTACAAAAATAGATTGTTGTCGTTTTACCCTTGGCAGTCTAGAATGGTAGCCATGCCATGATTACAGAAGATGTCATAATTAGCGAACGAAAGGGCATGTGTGTGGGTGTGTCTGGTTTTATGTGAGCATACAGCACACCGGCTAGGGCACACCTCCCTTCAGCCATAGTACCCCTCACACACAGGCCTAGATGCAAAACACAATGCATCATTATCAGAACTCCCAATGTTCATCCTCACTAGATTCGATGTTTTTCTGTAGTTTTTCGATACTTGCATCACGGTCTATTTCTTCCCAGTTCTCCTCGACTGTCTCAATAGCACGTTGCAACTTCTCTATTTTGTCGACATGCTCGCCCCGCTTCAGGGTCAGGTCCGTCACACTGTTACTATTACTGTCATTGCTGTTCTCCTCGACCTCCTTGTTCTCCTTCTCCTCTGCCTCATCATCCCCATCAAACTTTTCCATGTTGGCTGCTTTCTTTATGGTTGCTGCTTTAATTCGTTCCAACTGCGTTCCTTCGTACACTCTCTGTGGGTTTGACCGTTTCCGTTTATTAACACCCGAGGCTGGTGTTGGTGGAGGAGGGAGGTTCTTGTCATCCGAATCGGGGAACACTTGACTTTCACTTACACTGTCAACCCGCGACTCCTCGGAATCGTTCTTATCATCTGCCATTTCTTGTTCATTGTTCACTGAGTTGTTCCTGCTCTCTGGTGACCTCTGACCTCCCGGAGTAGCCACCGGTTCAAAGCGTGGAAACATCCACTGACTCGTTTCGTTGTTTTGATAACTTTGGTACTGGTTTGTGTCACCTGAAGCACTAGACATGTCACTTTGATTGGAGCTTTCATCCTGAGGCTCTGCCTTGATGCTGTTGGTGTCGCTCTGGGTTGGGGTGCCTCCTCCGCCGCTTGCATGGTGCTGCTGTTTGGCCCGCATCCGGTGATTGTGGAACCAGTTTATAACTGTCTTCACACCAACACCTAGATCATTAGCTAATGCTTCAATGGTGCTCTGGTTTGGGTAGGGGTCCTGTGCATAGGCCTGGCGAAGTGAATCTTTCTGTTCTTCTGTGAAAAAGACCCGAGGTCGTTTTGGCTGAGTGGGTGAGTCAAAGCACCGTTCATCCAAGCTACTCTTCCTCCGTCGGTGAGCTGAAGAGACAAGAAACAAAGCTCTGTTATAACACAAGAAACAGGGGAAGTAAAGAGATATCCAAGGTTACATGAAACAAATACAATTACCAAATTAAAATCAAAAGTGCAGCTTAGAAGATTTACAAATGTGTAAAGATACTTCAATCAATTTCCATGTGACTTGCTCTACTGTTCCTCTAACTAGGACTACTAAAAGCAGGCAGCTACAAGCTACTCTAGGTGGTGTGTGGCTACAGCTATAGTAAAGGCCGGAGAGGAGGACTGCATGTGGAGGGGCTGGGGAGGGTGGAGAGATGACATGTCAGCAGGGCTACTCCTTGTATCTCTGTATATTTAAAACAGTGTGGCCCCGGAAGATATTCTATGACAGGAAGGAAGGACTACTACTGGTATCATTGCTTATCTAAAACTGTAGTCCAGTGTGGCCCTAGAGGAGCCTCTGTGACAGGAGGGATGGAGAGAGTGGAGAGACAACATGTCAGCAAGGTTACTCCTTGTATCTGTGTATCTAAAACAGTGTGGCCCTGGAGGAGCCTCTATGGCAGAGGGATGGAGAGGGTGGAGACACGATGTGCCAGCAAGGTTACTCAATAGATCTCCGTCTAACTAAAACTGTAGTCCAGTGTGGCCAGGAGGGATGGAGAGGGTGGCGAGACGAGATGTCAGCATGGTTACTATTAGTATCATTGCTTATCTAAAACTGTAGTCCAATGTGGCCCTAGAGGAGCCTCTGTGACAGGAGGGATGGAGAGGGTGGAGACACGATGTGTCAGCAAGGTTACTCAATAGATCTCTGTCTATCTAAAACTGTAGTCCAGTGTGGCCAGGAGGGATGGAGAGGGTGGCGAGACGAGATGTCAGCATGGTTACTATTAGTATCATTGCTTATCTAAAACTGTAGTCCAATGTGGCCCTAGAGGAGCCTCTGTGACAGGAGGGATGGAGAGGGTGGAGACACGATGTGTCAGCAAGGTTACTCAATAGATCTCTGTCTATCTAAAACTGTAGTCCAGTGTGGCCAGGAGGGATGGAGAGGGTGGAGACACGATGTGTCAGCAAGGTTACTCAATAGATCTCTGTCTATCTAAAACTGTAGTCCAATGTGGCCCTAGAGGAGCCTCTGTGACAGGAGGGATGGAGAGGGCGGAGAGACGATGTGTCAGCAAGGTTACTCAATAGATCTCTGTCTAAAACAGCAGTCTTTTGGGACCAAGAGTTATTCTGTATCAACACTGATAAGAAAGGGCTAAATTTGACCTGGAGGCTATTCTACTTATTCCAATTAGATTGCTGACCAAGAGAATACTACAATCTCCTGCCTATGTCTCAATAATAAACTCATGTTGTGGTGCAGAATGAGGACAGTGGGGCAGCTATAATAGAGACAACCTGCAGCATAATCTGTCTACAACATTATACACAGTGGTAAAGTGATCACAATAGCCTTATGTGGACAGACTGGTTAGTGGGGCAACCTGTATCAAGGAAACCTACAGGCCCATTCTATATTTACAACAAGAGACTGGTATTGCTGACAGACGAAGGATGGGTGAGGACAGAATAGAGCGGACAAACTTGACTTTCCGGAAACAGAGGAGTGCACAAAATGTCATCATTCGACAAATGATCAACCTTGCCTCCAGGCATGACCTTACGGCTTCCCTTCTTCGGTTAAGGGTATTGTATTGTGCATAATGTCTGTTATATCTGAACAGGTATTAAAATGTTTCCAGTATTTGAGGATTAGTTCACTGTAGTTCTCCTTCACTATGTCTGAAGTTTGAATGTCTGTGTTAGCGTTATCGTCAGAGGTATGTAAACTGCAGCAAGCACTCTCACAGTTATTTCATAATCCTGTTCTACAATGGTACATGTGTCACTATTCAATGGCTTAGTCAAATATTCAGTTGAAGAGTTAAACTGGTTTTAGGAGAAGCATGTGCTTGTCTGACTGACTTACACTATTTAAAGAAAACGTTCGTTAGTTTGTTGATGGAGGCGCCTCTATATATGGGGCAGACCTACCTTTCATCTGACTTTGGTAATGTTTTAGTCGCTCTACACTCTGCGGGTCCCGTAGCCATAGATGCATTTTGATAAAGGGTTCTCTCCCCTTGATACTGAGCATGTGCCATGGTTTAGGTTTTGACAGTAGCTCACTAACTGAGCCCTGAGACAGGCCTAGTACAGCCTCGCCGAAAAGCTTTTGTCCTAAGTTGTGGAACTGCAGTACATCTTTAACTCGACTGGTGAGCCCCAGAGTATCGATCTCAGACGTCATGGCTATCACCTCCAGAGTGGAGGAGGGGAACGCCAAACTGCCCCAGTTACGTGGAGGTGGATCGTGAGGAGAGAAGACGACGTCACCTGCCGCTGCTGCCGCGGCAACAGCAGCTGCCGTGGCGAGAGAGGGCGCATGGCTAGGTGGTGCAGAGCTACGGTGGTTGGGGGGACGAGAGGAAGTCTTCTCAGTAGGAGGACAGGTGGTGGGCAGAGGAGGTGGAGGCTCTACGGAAAACAAAACGGTAACAGCAAACTAGAGACAGTCTGGAGGGAGCACAGCAGGTGACAGGATGAGTGAGTGAGTGATGGCGATGTATGCCAGGAGAGATGGTAGAGCATAGGTGGGGAGATAAAGTGATGAGTGATGGCGATGTATGCCAGGAGAGATGGTAGAGCATAGGTGGGGAGATAAAGTGATGAGTGATGGCGATGTATGCCAGGAGAGATGGTAGAGCATAGGTGGGGAGATAAAGTGATGAGTGATGGCGATATGTATGCCAGGAGAGATGGTAGAGCATAGGTGGGGAGATAAAGTAAAGAGTGATGGCGATGTGTATGCCAGGAGAGATGGTAGAGCATAGGTGGGGAGGGAAAGTGATGAGTGATGGACCAGATGTATGCCACCAGAAATGGTGGGGGGGAAAGTGATGAGTGATGGCGATGTGTATGCCAGGAGAGATGGTAGAGCATAGGTGGGGAGGGAAGTGATGAGTGATGGACCAGATGTATGCCACCAGAGATTGTGGAGGAGGAAAGTGATGAGTGATGGCAATATGTATGCCAGGAGAGATGGTAGAGCATAGGTGGGGAGGGAAAGTGATGAGTGAGTGATATGAGACACGTGAGAATGGTGGATGGATGAGCGATGTGCAAATGAATTGTGAGGTGAATGATGGATAAGTGTGGCATGCAAGTGATGGATTAGTGAGTGATGTGAGTGATGTGAATGGTGGATTAGTGAGTCATGCAAGTGATGGATTAGTGAGTGATGTGAATGGTGGATTAGTGAGTAATGCAAGTGATGGATTAGTGAGAGATGGAATTAGTGAGTGATGTGAGTGATGTGAGAGGGATGGATTAGTGAGTCATGCAAGTGATGGATTAGTGAGTGACGGATTAGTGAGTGATGTGCAAGTGACGGATTAGTGAGTGGATGTGCAAGTGACGGATTAGTGAGTGATGTGCAAGTGACGGATTAGTGAGTGATGTGCAAGTGATGGATTAGTGAGTGATGTGCAAGTGACGGATTAGTGAGTGATGTGCAAGTGACGGATTAGTGAGTGATGTGCAAGTGACGGATTAGTGAATGATGTGCAAGTGATGGATTAGTGAGTGATGTGTGGATGAGTGATGCCAGACATGCCAGAAAAGGTTGTTGGAGCAACGGTAGTAGAGAGATCAAGTGATGAGTGAGTGATGAGTGAGTGATCAGGAAGCGAGGGCTGGGCAAGTTGGCGGACTGTACAATAGAAGTAAGAGAAAGATGTAGGTGAGATACAAACTCTGCTTCTGTGAGAATAAGTGTGTGATGGTCAGGATGAATGCAACGAGAAAGATGATTGAGTGTAGGCTGTGTCTGAAAGAATGTGTAAATAAAGGACTAAAACTAGATACATTTGCAAGGAGGACAAGAGATGCATTGATTCAGATGTGGATGGCACATATGAGCAGGTGACAGTGGATGGTATAATGTGAGGGAACACAACAGCACAGAGCTAGTACAAGGGCGGAATGGATGTTTCAGAAAGACGTAAGTACAAGGTGTCAAAGATAGAAACATGTAGAGTGAAATTAATGGCAGATTACTTTATACCATGGTGTGGAAGTGAAGGATATTTTTGGAAACTGAGGAGACTCATGATGGCATGGGAATGGGGAGATGACAAAACAGGAGGTGAGGTGAAATCGGGTTTAACGTTGTGTTGAAGATTATTGCGCTTATACAGCCCTAGCCCACTGAGATACCATGCTGCAGTTTCTAATGGATACCTTCAGACACATCATACCGTCTCCAAGCCGACCGTTTTATCTCCTTAATGCTGAATGCCAGGCAGGGTAACAACAGATACCATCTTTTAATGTCTTGTGGTATGATGTAGCCATGGCTTTGAATCACCAAACTTCCACTTTCCTTGGAGATTATTTATCAACAAGACCACAGAGGCAGTCAATCGGTGGTGGTGTGTTTTGGTGTGTGGTGGTGATGGTGGTTGTCTAGGATGACATCACATGTAGTTTGGGGAGAGTCTGGTGGTACTGTAGGAGGTGTAGTTGGTGTAGTTGGTGGTGGAGGTGGTGATGGTGGCTGTGTAAAATGACTTGTGGGGCTTCTGAGGTGGGAACTGGGTATATAGTTGTTGTAGGACATCAAGAAGAAGCAAGAGAGGCTGAAGAGTATTGCAGGTATTAGTATTGGGAACAGAAGGATGAGACCGGGCTATACCATAATGAAGGGGTGGCTATTCCACGATGAACATGTGGTTATTACTGAAGCTTGAACAGCTGAACGTAGCCCCAAAGGATGGACACTATTTTTTTGTTGTATCATCCTACCCAAAACATCAGTGCAATTACCATCCCATTGTGAACATTGCTTTCTCCTATCAGCTCTTGGTGTATCTCAAGTTAATGGGTCACATCATCATTGCTTTTTAATTCAAATGTCGTCATTCTACATTGTGGCAACATGAAAGTTATCCACTGTTCATAATGTCAACAAATATTAATATTGTTCACAAGAACAACAATTTCCTTCACTGAAGATACAAATCAGAGCCTCCTCAAAGCTCACAAATAGGGATTATGTCCCTTGGTTATCTATCCGAAATGAACCAATTCACTTGGATCAGGTAATAAAAATTGTAGCTTGTTTGTTATTCTCAAGTTACTGAAACTGAAACTATTTCGTTACCATGATAATGTGCCAGTGTGTCTTTACAGCCACCAAGCAGGAATATCAGTCCTGCCACACACCATTCCTTCAGCATAAATATGAAAACAGTTCACCAGTTAAGCCACCAGTCAAAAATCTGAGGCTGGTAAAATCCCTTTTGGTTCAGTAACGTCAGGTCTTTGTGAACAGACCAAAATCTACTGAAAAGGATCCAAAAATCATTTGGGGGCTTGTAGACTCATGGTTTGGGGCTCTAGATCCTAAAATAAAGTGGGTATGGTTTTACTTCACTTTCAGTGATATTTCCACCCATTGTACCTATGAGGGGAATCCAACCTTGGTCTAAGACTTGACATGTGAACGCTTCACCCACAAGGCTAGCCTTCCGCCCAAAGTATGATAGGATGTGATATCTAAGTTACCCTACTAACTGAAGCTTTAGCAGCGTATCACTGCGCTAGGAAGCAGGTAGGTGGCAGCAGTGAGTTAGACAAGCAGAGATGACACATGGGCAAATGATGGGCAATGGATGACCGATGAATGATGGAGCGATGGATGATGGAGGAATGAATATGATGACAGAGTGTGAATGAAGAATTCTCAAGTGAACATAATGCAAAATATCTAAAGAACAAAAATAAGAGGAGAAACAAAAACTATGTTACAAGCAAAGACAGATTCCAAAATCGTCAGATCTGTTCCCTGCACTGCTCTTGCTCTGCCGAGTCTCAGGATGTGCTGACAATTCACAAACTGTTCTCACTGTTGCAGCTGATGAGTCAACATCAGAGATGCTGAAGGTCCTGATGGGTTTTACAGATTAGCGAAGAAGGACTCAAAAATTCTATTGTAAGTGTAATGCTGGTCTTAATTTTTCCATAAATATAGAACGTAAAAATGCAAAAGATTTACTTCTGTATCATAAAAGTGAAAAATGCAACAGAAAAAAATTTGTTTTTGGTCCCAGGAGCTTTTTACAATGCATTGTTATCTACAGCTTTCAGACAGTTGTCAGTCCAAGACAATTGGTCAAACATGGATTCCATGAAGTAAAAAAGAGCAAAAAAAAGAACTGATTCTTCTGTGCTAAATAACATAATAACAATCATGTTGATTTCAATAAAAACGATTACAACCTGCTGACTGAGGTTCTAAATCTTTCTGCCTACTGTATAATGAGGACCCTCCGTTAGCACATGTCTGTGAGGTCGGCTGGAGCAAGAGCTGCAGAAGGATCAGACCAACTAGAGTCTGAGGATCAGGAAGGTCGCTAATCAGGATATGCTACAACTCAACACGTGCAGTCACACAGTTACCTCCCCTGTCAGATCCACTCTCCTAACAGGGAGGTGATACAGCTTGCCGATACCTACCATTTATCTTCTAGATCAACTGTATTTCACATAGCCAAAACATCCAAGATCATTGTTAACATCAAAACAGTATCATCTACTCATCACATGGGATGAAGAATAGAAACAATATCATCAGGAAGGATCATGCAAGTCTCGACAGCTACTCTTATGCTTGTGAAGTTCTATCTACAACTGACTACAACACCAGGCTCTAGGCTAAAGGAGGACGCACACAGACACACATACCTGCCATGGAGACGGGCATGGGCATCGGCACCCCTGACTCCTGCACATTCTGACCCTGGCTCCGCATCAACTTGTCTGGGGGGATGCGGTACTGTGACGCCACCAGTTTGGGGATGGCCTCGGCATCCTCCAGGAAGATCTGCATGCGGATGAAAGGTTCTCTCCCCTTCTGTGTCAACATGTGCCATGGTTTGGGTCGGGCAAGCAAGTCACTAACACTGCCTTGTGAGAGTCCCAGCACATTCTCACCAAACAATCTTTGGCTTATGGAGTACTGACTAAGTGTCTCTTTCACTTTTTTCACCAAATCATCAGTGTTCACATTAGAATATTTGTCAAACTGTTCTTGTGTTATTGGTGGCAGCACTGCTCGGAGAGGCTTCGATGTTGGCACATTGAGATTTGGGCGTGAGCTGAGTGAGTTCGCTATATTCTGCATGCGTTGGAGCGGAGATAGGCTCTCAGCATGGGGTCCGTACTGGGCAAAGTGGGGGTTTTCGTAACTGTCATGCCCATTGATGCGTGGGCGGACAAGAAAGAAGGCACTTCCTGCATGGCGTGAGTCGGAGTGAGGCGTATCCGAAGAGGAGGATGTAGATGAGGGAGGTGAGTTATGCGGTTTGCTGAGATCGATTGGTCCACAGTTGTTGATGTGAGATGTAGTGTCATCCGAAGTACTGTCAGGCGGTTCCGCTTTCACACTGAAACCGTTCTGTCCATCTGCGGAGCTCGGCTGATCATGAGCACTCATGGGGCTGTGCAGGTTGGTTATCTGAGCCTGGTGGGCAATCCTGGCCAACTCCTGCTGGTACATCGAGCTGGCAGCAATGTTTCCCGCACTCTCCGCCGCCCGAGCCAGTTTCTCCAGCTCTTGTCTGTATATCCGCGCAACCATTTCCTGGGCAGATGCCTCACTCTCAATAGAACTGGTAGAGTTCCGTGATGTGCGACCTCCATCCAAACTCCGTCGTGTGCTCTCACTGTCTCTATGGGGTTTTGAGGAAGAGACTGGAGTGGGTGGGGCGCTGGGGTACCGTCGTTCCGACCCTACCATCTTTGACAGTTCACGCTGGTAGATGCTTGTCACAACCGCATTTGCAACTTGTTGCTGCAACAAACAGAGTGGATGGTGCAGGCAATAGCAAATACAAGCTTCAGACCACGTTATCGTTACTGGGGTCAGTCGACTATTTCTGTTCCTGCAGCTACAAATCTTTCAACAAAATCTGTTTTAAATTCATTATATAACGTACTATTTCAATATAATTTGTCAATTTTGCTGTCTGGATCAGTCAGGATATTTTTATGCCTGTTTGTGTCTGTGTCTGTTTCATTAGGGTCTGTGTATGTTGGTCTGTTTCATTAGGGTCTGTCTATTTCAGTCTGCTTCATTAGGGCCTGTCTATGTTGGTCTGTTTCGTTAGGGTCTGTCTATGTTGGTCTGTTTCGTTAGGGTCTGTGTATGTTTGTCTGTTTCGTTAGGGTCTGTGTATGTTGGTCTGTTTCGTTAGGGTCTGAGTATGTTGGTTGGTCTGTTTTATTATGGTCTGTGTATTTCAGTCTGCTTCATTAGGGTCTGAGTAAGTTGGTCTGCTTCATTAGGGTCTGTGTATGTTGGTCTGTTTTATTAGGGTCTGAGTATGTTGGTCTTTTTTATTATGGTCTGTGTATTTCAGTCTGCTTCATTAGGGTCTGAGTATGTTGGTCTGCTTCATTAGGGTCTGAGTATGTTGGTCTGTTTTATTATGGTCTGTGTATTTCAGTCTGCTTCATTAGGGTCTGTGTATGTTGGTCTGTTTTATTAGGGTCTGAGTATGTTGGTCTGTTTTATTAGGGTCTGTGTATTTCAGTCTGCTTCATTAGGGTCTGTGTATGTTGGTCTGTTTTATTAGGGTCTGTGTATGTTGGTCTGTTTCATTAGGGTCTGTGTATGTTTGTCTGCTTCATAAGGGTCTGTGTATGTTGGTTTGTTTCATAAGGGTCTGTGTACGTTGGTTTGTTTCATAAGGGTCTGTCTATGTTGGGTCGGTTCAGGTTTATCTGTCTGGCTTTGTCTGTCTGTCTGTCTGTATGTCTGTCTGTGTTGTGTCTAAATCTGTCTAAATGCATGTTGGCTGTCTATCTCATTTGGGTCAGTTCATGCCAGTCGGTCAGTTTGTCTGTCTGTGTTGTGTCTGAATCTGTCTAAACGTCTGTTGGCTGTCTATCTCATTTGGGTCAGTTTATGCCAGTTGGTCAGTCTGTGTTTGTTGTGTCAGTCTGTCTGACAACTCTAATGACTGTCTATCTAACTTGGGCTTGTTCATGTCCGTCTTTGTCTGTCTGTCTGTGTTGTGTCAGTCTGTCTGACAACTCTAATGACTTTCTATCTAACTTGGGCTTGTTCATGTCTGTCTTTGTCTGTCTGTGTTGTGTCAGTCTGTCTGACAACTCTAATGACTTTCTATCTAACTTGGGCTGGTTCATGTCCATCTTTGTCTGTCTGTCTGTCTGTCTGTGTTGTGTCTGAATCTGTCTGACAACTCTATTGACTGTCTCATTATGGTCCAATTTGCATCCGTGAGTCGGTTGTGTTTTGCGTCTAATGACTGTCTAGTTCACATTGACCTCTGTGCAGCTCTGTCTGTTATGTCTCTGTGTGTCTAACGGCTGTCAGTGTCTGCTGTTTATCAGACTGTCCAGGGAGTCCATCTTTTTTATTTGGTCCAGTGTGCCTTTCCGTAAGCCATTGTCATTACCTGCTCCAGGCTTTGCTTCATGTGCATGGCAGCCTGGGCCTCATTGAGGATTTGGTTGATGCGATCTTCTGTCGCATTGTCCTCCTTTGGAACGGTTGACACCAGCGGTTGTGAACCTGCAAGAGGACAAGGATTGTTACATGTGTCCCTTATAATGACACTCGTCACACACGCACATTATCATCATCACATCACCAGTATCGGATACTTCAAGATTACCAAACACCATTTTGCTCGAACAAGATACAGCTCTTAATCTAGTTCCTTTCCCAATTTTGGAAAATAGTCTGTATATATTTCTTATGGTCACCTGATGATGTACAAAACTGAAATGGTGTTAAATTGGTATAAATTTATCGTGACGAGAAAGAGCTCCATGAAAACTTGCCAAAGTGTGTTGTTTCGAAAATATAATATGTAAACAGAACAGTTTTCAGTTGGTCTACAGAACTGACTAACAAAAAATTAAGAAATACCCGGTAAGAAAAAAAACTTTTGACCATTTGGGGGGGATCTACTGCTTCACTTTGGCGAAATGAAAAAAACAGAATTTTATCAGAGTTGTTTGTAAGAATAAAATAAAACAAAATCTTTAATCTCAAAAAAAAAATGAGTTAGTTTTCAGTTTGTTGTTAAAACATTTTTAGTCTTCATTCGTTAGTAACAGTTCTAATCTGGAAGTTAAAATACAAAAAACAAATTCTGATAAACTTCATTGAATTTCAGGCCAAAGTTTTGCAAACCAACTTATGGAAAATATAGGGCATTTTCAAAATGTTGTCATAAAAATGATAAAAAATCACCTATATTGAATTTTAGGCCAAAAATTTGTAAACCAACTAAATTTAGAAAATATATGGCCTCACTGGAAATTTTTAAAAATGTGTCACATATCTGACTCTTATTCTTAAACAGAAAACTACTCATCATATTGCAAGACACAAGACAAGACATACATGTGTCACTCAAAACTGATCAATACTCAAGCAAGACGTCCTAGATCAACATGACGATGTCTGACACAATTTCATGTGGTGGAAAAAGATCTTGATGAATAATGAAACGGTATCCACTGAACTATGACATAAGAATAATAATCTTGATGTTACCATGGTGACAGGAATTATAAAACAGATATCAAACTTGACAAAATGAAGACAAACAGATAGTTTTTGTAAAGGCCAGTTTGTCATGCAAGATCTACCCACAGAACAATACAACTAGACCAAGGACTTAGTCAAGGACAATATCAAGGACCAATGTGATGTTGGAAATAACGAAGGTAGAATTTTCTGAATTGGTGAATACTGTGAATGGTGCACACTTTCAGCTTTTTCAGCGCAGCCTGTACATACATAATAGTGAGGGAGTTGGCTTAACACTGCTTTCAACAGAATTCCAGTTATATCACGGCATTTCATCTTAATGTGGGAGGAAAGCCCGAAGTGATGTAAGTGTCAGATGTTTATCACTTTGGTGAAACCAACAAGCACGGGGACAAACCTAGAAACATAATTGGGGCGAACCGGGATTCGAACCAACGATCTTAGGTTTCTGGCGTGGGCAAGTGACCCAATTCTGCATTGCGAATTGCGGCGCTTTAGACGACTGCCACCCGTGCCCCCATCATACAAGCAATGTCTGATAGCACGAGCAACACTCCATGGCCTTAGGGTACAAAGACACACAATCTCTGTGTACTCAGCTCTTATGAGGTATTTTGTTTGTTGTTTAATGCTGCACTCAGCAATATTCCAGCTATATGATGGCAAAAATCGAGTCTGGACTGGACAATCCAGTGAATATCGATCCACACTCCAATGATGCCCAATCAACCAAGTCACTGAGCATGACCACAGATCTATTTGGTCGACTTAGAATATGTTGCTGGGGACTTATTCTAACCAATTGAGAATAACGACGGGGTATGAGTACTTGGAATCGATTCTGATCCGGAATCACCACTGGGAACTTTGTATCAATACAGTGAGATAAATAATCTGAAATCTGAATAAAACAGATAAAATTAATCCACTCCAGTCAAGATGGTCCATTACACGTTAATTCCAATTTAACGTAAATGTTCCCAACTGATTAGAACATTTTATTTCCAGTGCTACAATTGAGGGTGAAGGAACAAGAGAAGTAAGAACCATGAGATACCATGACACCGTCACAACACAACTTGGCACAAAACAACAAGAATCAAACTAAAGAAACTCAATTTGGTACATGTACGCAACTCAATATAATTGTCGAAACAAAAGAAGAAAAAAAGCAATACTCACATGCCTTACCTTTCTTGGGCGAGATGGCCTTGAGAGCCAAAATGTTGCGTTCATCTATCGCCCATCCATGCATCTTCCGGTACGATTCACGACCCTTCTCGGTTAGCTTATCCCACGATTTTGGCTTTGATAAAAGTTCGCTGACAGTTCCCTGGGACAATCCCAGCACATGTTTGGCAAACAGTCTTTGCCCTATATTGTGTATGCTTAGGAGCTCGCGCACATTTTTGGCAACATAAGTAGTGTCCAAGCCCCCTTGCTGAGAGTTGCCTTCGGACTTGATAACATTTGGGGGTAGAAAGCCTGTAGGCATATGATTGTTAGGATATGCAAAGTATGGTGAGGGTGGGGGGTGGAAGAGGTGGGCGTCAGGGCTGGCAAGAGAGTGAGATGTGGTGGAAGGAGGAGTTTCCGGGACTCCGTTTGACACGGGCGACTCGGCAGCTGAGTCGGCCAATGATGGGGTTTGTGACGACGGCGTTTGTCTCAGAGGTGCCACGCTTTTTTCCGCGGAATCTTCGGGAACGGTGGTGGCCCCGTCGGGCACATCTTCAGCTGGAGAAGGAGGAGTGGGTGTGTCAGGCGGCCCTGCAAGAAAGGTGTAGAATGCGCATGACTTCAACATACTGGTCAGAGGTTAGGACGTACAAGTCGGCCAGTCGGGATAGAAGTTCACTGAGCATGCAGTAGATCACACGTCATCCGCCAATCTTCAGTCATCGGTTACTATATCCATTATCATTTATATAGTAGCTGGTCCTACCAAATTCCTTATGTTATTAGCAGTATGCTTACTCTTTCTCATAGGACAATTTTGGCCAAAATTGGGTAAACTTTGGATGTCTGAGACATGAGCACATACACCTTTCTTACAGCGACGCACACGCGGACGCCGGTAACAATGGTCACCCAGGGAGAGGGCCCCACGCAGATTGGCTGATTGTTCCCGGAATGAAAGGTGGCCTTCCGTCAAGGGGAGGCAATCTTGGTAGGTAAAAGCGATGGCAGCAATGTATTCAGGTAGTGACAGAGAAGAGTCATTGAATTAGAATTTAGAATGGTAGCCAGAAAGCGTTGCACTGAGATCTAGCACTATCATCTAGTGACGTCGTGAGTGACGAAACTGCTCCCCACCGAGCAGGACAACTATCTCAATGATAGGAGGAACATTTGGAGGATGCAAAAACTATGAAGCTGTGTGTACATGAGCTGTACAGTGTGGCCAGTTTGCCTTTATGTGCTTGTGTGAATTAGTCAGTGTAGATCAGTAGGGGAAAGTGCGCATCAACAAACCAAGATTTGTCTTGTTCTAAAACAAATTTGAATCACATCTATGAGTATGTCCAAAGACAATTCCCTGTTGCATCTCAATGTAGCGAGGCTATCATCTATCTACTGTAGAGTGATGTGGTGTGTGACTCTACCTGTATCACCTAGTCACTGAAGAGAGATGTGTGACTATACTGGTATCACCTATCTACTGAAGAGTGTTGTGGTTTGTGACTCCACACGTATCACCTACCTACTGTAGAGTGATGTAGAGTGATGTAGTGTGTGACTACTTGTATCACCTATATACTGTAGAGTTCTCTAACACTTGTTGGTCTCTCTGTGTGGCTGTCACTTTGACAGCAATGGTGGTCACCACCTTCCATCACTAAGCCTGAATATAACCAATACAATCACACAGATGCTAAAACAGTCTACAACTGTGGTCATCATAAATAATAACAGATTGACAATACGCCAACAAAAAGTACAAAGAAAGTAAAAGCACAAAACCACTACCAACTGGCCAAGGAGCACAGGGTATCACCTCTATACTGAACAGAAGACAGGCAGCAACTGGATTGGCCTTGACATGAAGGTCAATCCAGTTCCATGCCATCACCCTCTTCATGCCGCCTTCATCAACACTCACACAAATGGCTGCCGTAGCATGTTTCGGAAGAAGATGGGGAAGTCCCCAGCTGGCAAGGCAACATGAAGTTGGTTGTAGAGAAAGAGCTGTCCTACCTTTGATGTCTGCGCTGGCCACCTTCAGTTGGGTGTTTTCTGACTGTAGGGTTTTGTTCTTCTCCAGCAGAAGCATCTCCAATGACTTGGGTGACTGAGTTGTCTCCCCTTCCTCTTCCTCCACTCTGGCAAACTCAACCGACTTCATGATGCTGCAAGAACAAAGACTCCTTATAGCTTTTAAAATAGGTCAAAACTGTATCAGAACTATAGTCAGTCATACAACTTTCTAATCCTCATCCCAACTACAGTGGACCTGAGATTAAGTTAGTAGCTGAGCATACTTTGCTCAAACCATTTTAGTCTATGCAGCCTTTGCTGTCAATTTCAGGGACTTTTTAAGACCTACAATGTTTTCTTTGAAAGAAGGAGTCACGTAATTTGGGGGGGAAATCACAACGGAAACAATTTCACTTAAAGTTCACGAGCCTGATGTTTCCGACCATACATACAGACTGGCTTAGTTTGATATCCTCCCAGGTAATCTTCCTAAAGATTTGGAAGATATGTGATGAAATTCCGAGACTGCACAAGGTCAAGCAGGCTGTGATGCAGTAACTCCTAGGGCGGGGATGGGTATTAGCACCCGACCCCTAGTACCCGATCCTACCTTGGTACCCGCTGTAGGTCTCAAGAATTGGGCACAAAATGTCCAATTGGGATATGGTTTACCAGAGCTCTGGCAAAAACTACTTAGATATGCGCATTAAACGATCTGACTATGCATTCACTGATGTTGACTGAAGTTTGAGCCTTACTCAAACATATCAAAGTCAAATGAAATGCGAACATTTGTAACTTGTTGTGTAACCATGGTGTTGTTATTCTTATTGTCATCAAACAATGTGTCACGCGACTAACCAAGGTCTGGGTATTCCTTTGGGTACCAAGATCCTACTCAGGACCCATCCAACCCGAGGACCCGGACTCACCCGCCCAGAGTACCCAAGCTACACGTCCCAGCCCTAGCGTGGACTCACCCGCCCCGTGTACCCGAGCTACCCGTCCCAGCCCTGGCGTGGACCCACCCACCCCGAGTACCCAAGCTACCCGTCCCAGCCCTCGCGTGGACCCACCCACCCCGAGTACCCAAGCTACCCCTCCCAGCCCTGGCGTGGACCCACCCACCCCGAGTACCCAAGCTACCCGTCCCAGCCCTAGCGTGGACTCACCCGCCCCGTGTACCCGAGCTACCCCTCCCAGCCCTGGCGTGGACCCACCCACCCTTAGTACCTGAGCTACCCCTCCCAGCTCTGGCGTGGACCCACCTACCCTGAGTACCTGAGCTACCCCTCCCAGCCCTAGCGTGGACCCACCTACCCTGAGTACCCAAGCTACCCGTCCCAGCCCTGGCGTGGACCCACCCACCCCGAGTACCCAAGCTACCCCTCCCAGCCCTGGCGTGGACCCACCCACCCTGAGTACCTGAGCTACCCGTCCCAGCCCTGGCGTGGACCCACCCACCCTGAGTACCTGAGCTACCCGTCCCAGCCCTGGCGTGGACCCACCCACCCCGAGTACCCAAGCTACCCGTCCCAGCCCTGGCGTGGACCCACCCACCCCGAGTACCCAAGCTACCCCTCCCAGCCCTGGCGTGGACCCACCCACCCCGAGTACCCAAGCTACCCGTCCCAGCCCTAGCGTGGACTCACCCGCCCCGTGTACCCGAGCTACCCCTCCCAGCCCTGGCGTGGACCCACCCACCCTGAGTACCTGAGCTACCCGTCCCAGCCCTGGCGTGGACCCACCCACCCTGAGTACCTGAGCTACCCGTCCCAGCCCTGGCGTGGACCCACCCACCCCGAGTACCTGAGCTACCCGTCCCAGCCCTGGCGTGGACCCACCCACCCTGAGTACCTGAGCTACCCGTCCCAGCCCTGGCGTGGACCCACCCACCCTGAGTACCTGAGCTACCCCTCCCAGCCCTAGTGTGGACTCACTTGAGCTCCCGCTTGATCTCTTCATAGTCGTCCTGGGACTTGATTCTCTCCTCCAGCAGGCGGAATGCCTTGTTCTTTGTGTTCAGTTCCTCCTCCAGCCGTGACACCTGGCTGGCTGCCGACTCTCGCAGCTTCGTCAGCGATGCCTGAAGCCTCTGCACATCCTCCACCAGCTGGGCAATCTGCAAACACCAAATGAAAACATTACTGTCTGTATAGCCCCATGATCACAAATCATGACAACTCATCAGTAATTGTACAAATGCTATTCTACCGATATATAACTATTTCAGTCACCTGAGAACAAAACAAACGCGATTTGGAACTTCCCTCTGGGTACTCTTCCTATTACTACCTTAACCATCGTGACAACAAGCAGTTATTGTGCAACTTCATTCTCTGTAACCATATCACTATCTCCATCAACTGGCAACCAAACACGATGAGGAACCTCGCTCTGGGTACTCTTCCTATTACTACCTTAACCATCGTGACAACACAGCAGTGAGTGAGTGAGTGAACAATGTTTGATGCTGCAGTCAACAATGTTCCAGCTATAAACACTGGTGTAACCAGTGGCATAGAGAAGTGTCCACCCAAGTGTCTTTTGACATCAAATATATCAACACAAGTCGATAAAAGTTAAAAACTCCAAGACTTGCCAAGGAGTTTAAAACTTCTATCGCAAGTGCCAGGTGATATCGCTTGATCTCACCCAAGCGATATCTCCTGTGGAAGCCAGTTTGGATGATAAAATGAGCCACATCCGCTACCGTGGAACAATGACATGCATCCATGCGTTCTTCTGCTGCAGCCCCACAAGGAATGAGCTACATACCAACCAGTGTCCTGTTCTACAAATCCATCTCACTACTCCACCAATTAACTCCCACACCAACAATCTTCATATAGTTGTAGCTTTAAAGGTCACATTGTAGGACAGGCCCAGTAAGTTGACACATAAGTTTTCAGTCTCCATCCAAATTTAATTCAACATCCACCTATCAAGCACGGCATCCTTCATCATAAGACATTTCTGCTGACTCAACCAGCCATACCAGAGTGTAAACAGCCTATCTCTATGTACATCCAACTGAAGACAAAGGCCTTTCTCCAGCATGTGTCATGACACTCCATTGTCACAGCTAGCAGTGACAAAGTTGATTGATTACTCAAATCAATCATCATGATCAATGATGCATAATCAATCACCCAATCGAAGATCAATCCAGCAGTCACGTTATTGACTTCAAATCTTTATCTGAAAACACCCCAGGAACTGTTGCCATGGTAACCGACTGTGATCAATAGCCTCCCGTCAATCAATCTTCCAATCAATCAAGCTCCTGAGTTAATGATACGTTTTTTGGCCCAAACTCATTGATGTCACCAATGTTTTTCAGGTCAATTTGATCGGTTTTAATGATTTCTCATAGACAGTTTTGAGGCCAAATACTAAGAGAAGCAATACATCAGCTTGCTGTGGTACAATCAAAGCCTGCCATTATTTCATGTCTATTTCATGTTCATCTTTAATCTCCAACTGTCAGTAAGACGAATAGAGGGGCAAAGAAAGTAGGCCTTCAATACATCCAAAGAAACACATCGCTAAAGTTTCGGTAGGGCACTTTGTGACAAACTTTCATCCCAAAGTGACAAAATTATGCCTAGGGTCAAAAATAAAATAAGTGCATACTCATGTAAGACGTTGAAAGAAGGAAAAGTGTAATACTTAGTACCCTGAGACAATCTTGCATTAAGTTGGCTGTCGCTCCACATTCTACATTCTAGTCGGGAGTACCTTTAGGATTTTCACACTACATTCTGGATGGAGGTACCTGGGGGTCAGCTTGTCTACATTCTAGTTGGAGATACCTAGAGTCTGCTTGTCTACATTCTAGTTGGAGGTACCCATACGGTCAGCTTGTCTACATTCTAGTTGGAGGTACCTAGAGTCAGCTTGTCTACATTCTAGATGGAGGTACCTGGGGGTCAGCTTGTCTACATTCTAGTTGGAGGTACCCATACGGTCAGCTTGTCTACATTCTAGTTGGAGGTACCTGGGGGTCAGCTTGTCTACATTCTAGTTGGAGGTAACTGGGGGTCAGCTTGTCTACATTCTAGATGGGGGTACCTCCAGTCTGCTTATCTACATTCTAGTTGCAGGTACCTGGGGGTCAGCTTGTCTACATTCTAGATGGGGGTACCTCGAGTCTGCTTGTCTACATTCTAGTTGGAGGTACCTGGGGGTCAGCTTGTCTACATTCTAGATGGAGGTACCTTGGGGTCAGCTTGTCTACATTCTAGATGGAGGTACCCCTAGAGTCAGCTTGTCTACATTCTAGTTGGAGGTACCTGGGGGTCAGCTTGTCTACATTCTAGTTGGAGGTAACTGGGGGTCAGCTTGTCTACATTCTGGATGGGGGTACCTAGGGGTCAGCTTGTCTACATTCTGGATGGGGGTACCTAGAGTCTGCTTGTCTACATTCTAGTTGGAGGTACCTTGGGGTCAACTGGTCTACATTCTAGATGGGGGTACCTCGAGTCAGCTTGTCTACATTCTAGATGGGGGTACCTAGAGTCAGCTTGTCTACATTCTAGATGGGGGTACCCCTAGAGTCAGCTTGTCTACATTCTAGTTGGAGGTACCTGGGGGTCAGCTTGTCTACATTCTAGATGGAGGGTACCTAGAGTCAGCTTGTCTACATTCTAGATGGAGGTACCTAGAGTCAGCTTGTCTACATTTTAGATGGAGGTACCTGGGGGTCAGCTTGTCTACATTGTAGATGGGGGTACCTCGAGTCAGCTTGTCTACATTCTGGATGGGAGTACCTAGAGTCAGCTTATCTACATTCTAGATGGAGGTACCTGGGGGTCAGCTTGTCGACATTCTAGTTGGAGGTACCTGGGGGTCAGCTTGTCTACATTCTAGATGGAGGTACCTGGGGGTCAGCTTGTCTACATTCTAGATGGAGGTACCTAGAGTCAGCTTGTCTACATTCTAGATGGGGGTACCTCGAGTCAGCTTGTCTACATTCTGGATGGGGGTACCTAGAGTCAGCTTGTCTACATTCTGGATGGGGGTACCTAGAGTCAGCTTGTCTACATTCTAGATGGAGGTACCCCTAGAGTCAGCTTGTCTACATTCTAGATGGAGGTACCCCTAGAGTCAGCTTGTCTACATTCTAGATGGAGGTACCCCTAGAGTCAGCTTGTCTACATTCTAGATGGAGGTACCCATACGGTCAGCTTGTCTACATTCTAGTTGGAGGTACCTAGAGTCAGCTTGTCTACATTCTAGATGGAGGTACCTAGAGTCAGCTTGTCTACATTTTAGATGGAGGTACCTGGGGGTCAGCTTGTCTACATTGTAGATGGGGGTACCTCGAGTCAGCTTGTCTACATTCTGGATGGGAGTACCTAGAGTCAGCTTATCTACATTCTAGATGGAGGTACCTGGGGGTCAGCTTGTCGACATTCTAGTTGGAGGTACCTGGGGGTCAGCTTGTCTACATTCTAGATGGAGGTACCTGGGGGTCAGCTTGTCTACATTCTAGATGGAGGTACCTAGAGTCAGCTTGTCTACATTCTAGATGGGGGTACCTCGAGTCAGCTTGTCTACATTCTGGATGGGGGTACCTAGAGTCAGCTTGTCTACATTCTGGATGGGGGTACCTAGAGTCAGCTTGTCTACATTCTAGATGGAGGTACCCCTAGAGTCAGCTTGTCTACATTCTAGATGGAGGTACCCCTAGAGTCAGCTTGTCTACATTCTAGATGGAGGTACCCCTAGAGTCAGCTTGTCTACATTCTAGATGGAGGTACCCATACGGTCAGCTTGTCTACATTCTAGTTGGAGGTACCCATACGGTCAGCTTGTCTACATTCTAGTTGGAGGTACCTGGGGGTCAGCTTGTCTACATTCTAGATGGAGGTACCCATACGGTCAGCTTGTCTACATTCTAGTTGGAGGTACCTGGGGGTCAGCTTGTCTACATTCTATTTGGAGGTACCTAGAGTCAGCTTGTCTACATTCTAGATGGGGGGAACCTCGAGTCAGCTTGTCTACATTCTGGATGGGGGTACCTAGAGTCAGCTTGTCTACATTCTAGATGGGGGTACCTCGAGTCAGCTTGTCTACATTCTGGATGGGGGTACCTAGAGTCAGCTTGTCTACATTCTGGATGGGGGTACCTAGAGTCAGCTTGTCTACATTCTAGATGGAGGTACCCCTAGAGTCAGCTTGTCTACATTCTAGATGGAGGTACCCCTAGAGTCAGCTTGTCTACATTCTAGATGGAGGTACCCCTAGAGTCAGCTTGTCTACATTCTAGATGGAGGTACCCATACGGTCAGCTTGTCTACATTCTAGTTGGAGGTACCTGGGGGTCAGCTTGTCTACATTCTAGATGGAGGTACCCATACGGTCAGCTTGTCTACATTCTAGTTGGAGGTACCTGGGGGTCAGCTTGTCTACATTCTATTTGGAGGTACCTAGAGTCAGCTTGTCTACATTCTAGATGGGGGTACCTAGAGTCAGCTTGTCTACATTCTAGATGGGGGTACCTAGAGTCAGCTTGTCTACATTCTAGATGGGGGTACCTGGGGGTCAGCTTGTCTACATTCTAGATGGGGGTACCTAGAGTCAGCTTGTCTACATTCTAGATGGGGGTACCCCTAGAGTCAGCTTGTCTACATTCTAGTTGGAGGTACCTGGGGGTCAGCTTGTCTACATTCTAGATGGAGGGTACCTAGAGTCAGCTTGTCTACATTCTAGATTGAGGTACCTAGAGTCAGCTTGTCTACATTTTAGATGGAGGTACCCCTAGAGTCAGCTTGTCTACATTCTAGTTGGAGGTACCTGGGGGTCAGCTTGTCTACATTCTAGATGGTGGTACCTGGGGGTCAACTTGTCTACATTCTAGATGGAGGTACCCATACGGTCAGCTTGTCTACATTCTAGTTGGAGGTACCTGGGGGTCAGCTTGTCTACATTCTAGATGGAGGTACCCATACGGTCAGCTTGTCTACATTCTAGTTGGAGGTACCTGGGGGTCAGCTTGTCTACATTCTATTTTGAGGTACCTAGAGTCAGCTTGTCTACATTCTTTTTGGAGGTACCTAGAGTCAGCTTGTCTACATTCTAGATGGTGGTACCCTTAGGATTCTACATACTACATTAAGTTTGTCTACACCTTCTTGAGCAAGCTTGTCTACACCCTACATCCATGGACGCTACATGTCTAGATTGGGTACCACTACAGCCAGGTATCAGTCTACACACCTCCTTCTCCTTGGCAGCAAGCTCCACCTCCAAGTTGGATCTCTTCAGGATGTCAATGGCCTGCTCCATGTCAGGTGCAGTCTGCATGTGCTCGGCCTGTGCTAGGTTCTGATTGGCCGATGCCAGATGTGTCTTCAATGTCTCCACGTTTCGTTCTGCTGCCGCAGCACGCTACAAGATAAAATAATGATGAACATCATTATTAAAAAATAACCCCAAAATATCAAAACAACATTTTTTAAAAATGCCCCACAAAATATCAAAACAAAACAGTTGATTTAACTAAAAGAAAAATTACGTATTTAAAATGTGCCTCATTTACGAAATTCAAACGGACTTACCTCATTGGCTCGTTCAAGATCTGCCATTACCATGTCCATCTCATCCGACCTGAAAGATTGCATAATAGTATGAAGATAAACTGTTTGATAGAGAGGACCAAGAACTCTCCTTCACTGGAGACAGAAACATTGTGTTTGCTAATCCATCAACCCTAACAAGTATATAATCAATATGACATGGTATTTATCCCTCTGTCGCAAATTAATTTTAATCATACAATCAATTACCCTTATCCGCAAGTTGAATATTTCAAATAATACAAATAAACACAATTTCGTCATCAAATCAAATCCTCTGATAGATAGCAATGAAATCATCCTTTCGTCAATTTTGTGTAAAATCCTGGGATCAAGAGATGAGAGATTGTGTCGATTTCCAGCCATAATGTTACAGTCGACCAATCACAGCTTGGCTCACGCCTTGAAATCATTGATTTATTGATCTTTGGGATCGATACCTGATCAGATGGCGTCAATCACTTCATACCTTGTTAACTGGTTGCCTAGCAACAGAAGGTATCTGGTAATGTCTAAATACAGATTGATGCAGGCTGGGCAGTCAGGGAAACATCAGATCCCAACTGTTTAACGTTTGTTGAATAATGGATATTGTCAATTAATCTCCTACAAATATTGATACTCACATCATTTATTTCAAGATCAATACCGTCAAGAATCAATATCAAGTGAAGGATGGAACCTTAAGTTGCAGCATCTATCTGTTCTACAGTAATATTGATCTCGACTCTCATTCCTGCTTTCAGTTAAGATATACTCGCAACATTCCACAAGTAAACCAACACTGACATAGAATTCAAAACAGTAACTGCACATGAATAAACTTCGGAAATGCTCAAATTGCAAACAGGGCATTGAGGTGAGTTACTGGTGTCAGCCCTATACGAGAAATACACATTGTATGCCCATACTGTCTTGTCAATGTAAGACACTCTCATACAACAGGAAATCTCAGGCAATTGTTTAAAGGTTGCAAGTATGATTACTGTAAGTTACACAGTTCAATAGCTGTATGTTGACAAAGAGTGTGGTGCTCCCGAGCTATGAGCAAGAGCCCACAGCCTGCAGCTCTGACAGCCATATGCATCAATCAGGCGTCGATAATGTCCGCTAATAAGATAAAACCATTGTACATGTTTGCACAACAGATTTCCCCAACAGGTTACAATTTATTACAGGCTTGTTAAACATCGCCAGTGGGTGCTGTGATGATTTTAATCTTTAATTCAACTTGACAAATTATTCACGATATGCTATCACTAAAAATCAATAATCAAAAAGCGTTGCAAGGAAAATAGCTTTGATCGGCGTGAAATTGTTTCTTGTCAAAAGCTGACATTTTTCCATCACACTGCCCTCAGCAAACAGTGTGTGTGTCTTCAATTCACACAACAACCTATAACCTCCATTGTGTTTGTTATGCGGTTTTTAAACCGAAGGACTTTCAGGATAAAAAATCATGAACGTTGTTGAACCACGTAGCGTTCTTTTATTTTGCATTAGCAGTTAAAACTGCCATAATGGCCACCACTCCCCTGGGATTGCTTTGGCTGCGATAGAAAAAAGTTAAGTGCTTATGATGACGACCTGTACACTGTGTAGTGGGTCTGTCTACCAGATCTCAACTGGACAGACACACGAACCCCATACAGTCAGAATGTTGTGGCTTGTGTCAGTTTGATCATGAACGTAGATCAACAAGGGGGGGAAGAAATAAACCGATGGGGTTCACAGTATTTATTCTCAATGACTCCTCCCAGTGTTCACAGTATTTATTCTCCCTAACCCCTCCCACTGTTCACAGTATTTATTCTCCCTAACCCCTCCCACTGTTCACAGTATTTATTCTCCCTAACCCCTCCCACTGTTCACAGTATTTATTCTCAATGACTCCTCCCATTGTTCACAGTATTTATTCTCCCTAACCCCTCCCACTGTTCACAGTATTTATTCTCCCTAACCCCTCCCACTGTTCACAGTATTTATTCTCAATGACTCCTCCCACTGTTCACAGTATTTATTCTCAATGACCACTCCCATTGATCACAGTATTTATTCTCCCTAACCCCTCCCACTGTTCACAGTATTTATTCTCAATGACTCCTCCCACTGTTCACAGTATTTATTCTCAATGACCACTCCCACTGTTCACAGTATTTATTCTCAATGACCACTCCCACTGTTCACAGTATTTATTCTCAATGACTCCTCCCACTGTTCACAGTATTTATTCTCAATGACCACTCCCACTGTTCACAGTATTTATTCTCCCTAACCCCTCCCATTGTTCACAGTATTTATTCTGCATGACCCCTCCCATTGTTCACTGTATTTAGTCTCCCTAACCCCTCCCATTGTTCACAGTATTTAGTCTCCCTGACCCCTCCGACTGTTCACATGATTTATTCTGCATGACCCCTCCCATTGTTCACAGTATTTAGTCTCCCTGACCCCTCCCACTGTTCACAGTATTCATTCTCCCTAACCCCTCCCACTGTTCACAGTATTTATTCTGCCTGACCCTTCCAAATGTTCACAGTATTTTTTATTCTGCATGACCCCTCCCATTGTTCACATTATTCATTCTCCCTGACCCCTCCCACTGTTCACAGTATTTATTCATCATGACCCCTCCCACTGTTCACAGATTTATTCTCCAGGCCCCCTCCAAGTGTTCACAGTATTTATTCGTCATGACCCTTTCCCAGTGTTCACAGTATTTATTCTCCATTACCCCTTCCCAGTGTTCACAGATTTATTCGTCATGACCCCCTCCCAGTGTTCACAGTATTTAGTCTCCCTGACCCCTCCCACTGTTCACAGTATTCATTCTCCCTGACCCCTCCCACTGTTCACAGTATTCATTCTCCCTGACCCCTCCCACTGTTCACAGTATTCATTCTCCCTGACCCCTCCCACTGTTCACAGTAATTCATTCTCCCTGACCCCTCCCACTGTTCACAGTATTTATTCGTCATGACCCCCTCCCAGTGTTCACAGATTTATTCTCCAGGCCCCCTCCAAGTGTTCACAGTATTTATTCGTCATGACCCTTTCCCAGTGTTCACTGTATTTATTCTCCATTACCCCTTCCCAGTGTTCACAGATTTTTATCGTCATGACCCCCTCCCAGTGTTCACAGTATTTATTCTCTATGACCCCCTCCCAGTGTTCACAGTATTTATTCTCCCTGATCCCTCCCACTGTTCACAGTATTTATTCGTCATGACCCCTTCCCAGTGTTCACAGTATTTATTCTCAAGCATGACCCCCTTTCTGATCCATCTTTCTGAAAGCCTGGCCATGTATACTCAAGTACATGACAAGTTTGATTCATGAAGAACTTCCTAAGAGCAGATAACATGATGATGATAACACTACACATCATTTCACCACACAGACACCAGTCTGCAGTTATCTGCTAGATGTTTAGTTCAGTAATGGGACTTCAATTCAACAGTTAATAAGTGTTGATACTTCTGAAGGTGCTCCGTGACTCTAGCGGGCATTGCAGGGCTATTGGTTCAACAAGTTGAGCATGCTGATGGTAGCAGGGCTGCAACTTTCATCCAATGGGAGTGCTTCCCTTGCTGTCAACATAATACACTATCTTCATAATTCAAACGAATAAAGACCCACAAAAAGTGGCCGTGATTTGGGCGTAGCAGGACTAACACTCTGTTCATTGTCTCATTCTGAATCTATTAATAATCACCTTGTGTCATTTTGATGTCATTATCCATTCCACACTATTAATCACAGGGTTGGCAGTTGACCTCTCGTGACGCGTGTCAAACTGCTGAAGGTGACTGAGATCTCAATGCTAATATATTACGTGGTAATTAGCCTGCCTTGCTGACATCGGTGGGGATAGCAACAACTACTGCCGCGGGCACAATCGTATTTAATATGAGAAAACACGCTAATCAAGAAGAGAGGTCAGTCACTGAAACAATTTACTGTTTGTGAATATAGGATAGCCATGGAGATAAGGAATTCCTGTACACAGATATAACAGTACATGGTTCTGTCACTGTCACAGACTAAAAACTGGAGCGGTTACCTGCAGATGATAGAAACAAAGACAAGTACAGGTAGCATTAGCCTGCAGATGATAAAACCACTAACCAGCAGATGAAGCATTAACTTGTAGAAGATAGAATCACTGCCTAGCTGATGAAGCATTAAGTAATAGAAGATAAAATCACTGACTAGCTGATGAAGCATTTACTTGTAGAATATAGAACCACTGAAGTGCAGATGAAGCATTAACTTGTAGAAGATAAACCCACTAACCAGCAGATGAAGCATTAACTTGTAGAAGATAAAATCACCGACTAGCTGTTGAAGCATTTAGTAATAGAAGATAAAATCACTGACTAGCTTATGAAGCATTAAGTAGAAGTTAGAATCACTGACTACAGGATGAAGCATTTACTTGTAGAAGATAGAACCACTGAAGTGCGGATGAAGCATTAACTTGTAGAAGATAAAATCACTGACTAGCTTATGAAGCATTAAGTAGAAGTTAGAATCACTGACTACAGAATGAAGCATTTACTTGTAGAAGATAGAACCACTGAAGTGCGGATGAAGCATTAAGTAATAGAAGATAAAATCACTGACTAGCTGATGAAGCATTAAGTAGAAGGTAGAATCACTGACCAGCAGATGAAGCATTAAGTAGAAGATAGAATCACTGACCATAGGATGAAGCATTAAGTAGAAGTTAGAATCACTGACTAGCTTATGAAGCATTAAGTAGAAGTTAGAATCACTCACTAGCTGATGTAGCATTAACTTGTAGAAGATAGAATTACTGACCAGCAGATGAAGCATTAAGTAGAAGTTAGAATCACTGACTACAGAATGAAGCATTAACTTGTAGAAGATAAAATCACTGACTAGCTGATGAAGCATTAAGAAGAAGTTAGAATCATTGACTACAGAATGAAGCATTTACTTGTAGAAGATAGAAGCGAAGACAAGTGGACCATAAGATAGAGTCACTGACTAGTGTTTGAATGCTGA